CCCCCCCCCCCCCCCTCTTGCGCACGCGATGATGCCGGAGACCCAAATAGACGACACCCAAAGCCCGTCCTGTGTGACTGTGTATATTTTTCAAGAGGGCAGATGACGCATGTGCTGAATCCCATTTGCGCGGCCGCGCACACACACCCACATCCATACATGCAGATGCGGGAGGACGGCTCGACAAAGGTGGCGCGTTTGTGGCGGCAGTGGTGGCCATAGGAGCGAGCATGGTGGCCGCCAAACGCAAAAGAACACCCGGGAGAAGAGGGCAAGTGCGAACGGGCAGGACCGAAATGCCAAGTACCTTGACATGGATTGCCTGGAAGAAAGGGGGGCCGGGTGGAGAGGCTTGGGGTTTGCCTTGGGCCCATGCGGCTGTGTGCCCACACCTGCATGCACATGCCCACACCCACAGGCAGGCAGAGAGGCGGGGGGACGAGGGAGAGAGCAGACACGGTGCGATAGAAAGGAAAAAAAGACAACGAGCCGCTCCGGCAGCAGCGTCACGACGACTTGACATACGTCTGGGCCAGAACCATGAACAGGCGGTCGGTCAGACGGTACTCCACCGCCTCGCAGACCCGCTGGGTGGCGGCCGGGAAGTGGGACATGGCGAATTGCGAATCGCCGGCCAGGATGTGGGCCAGGTCGCCGGGGCCGGCGGCAGCGGCCTTGGCCTGGTTGGCGGCAATGTGCCGGCGCACAGCCTCCGACAGGTCGGTGAACTGGCCGTGCGCCAGCTCCAGAGCCTCGTCGGTCATGACGCGACCGACATTGACCGACCCGCGCTTGGCCTCCTCGTCGCGCTTGAGCGACCGCGGAATGGCCCAGGAGGAGGGGTTGAGAGGCGGGTCCGATGTGATGATCGTGTGGATGAACTCATCCAGCAGGTACCAGTGGTCACGGATGAAGAAGTTCAATGGCGCGAAGTGCGGCTGCTCGAAGAAGGTGTGCCGGGCAATGTGCCGGAAGATGTCGGCAATGACATTGAGAATGGGCGAGCGGTCGCTCAGGAGCCCGGCCGCATCGCCGGGCCGAGCAAAGGACACGGGCACCGCGTTGGCCAGCGGCTCGGTGATGGCCGGGCAGATGATCTGGTCCAGGAGCATGACGCGCAGGAAGTTCCGAGCGGCCACATCGCACTGGTACTTCTGCACGACCTTGTGATAAACAAACTTGAAGATGTGCATCACCGGGATCGGGAAGTAGCTGAGGGAGGAGACGATGGTCGACAAAATACGCAGGGCCACCTGGGCATAGCGGCCGAGGATGACATTGATGGCCCCCGGCGTCGGGGGGACCCCACCGGCGCTGGACACCGGCAGGACAAACTGCTCGGGATTCTGCGCCAGATCCGACAACACGGACCCGAGCACACGCTTGGTGTAGTTGGACCCGAGAAGCTGCGAATAGGCAATCGTTAGCCGGTAGCCGGGGAGCTGCTCGAAGCAGGCCGGGTGCTGGCGCTGTGACAGCTCGATCTCCCGCTCCAGGATGCGGAGGAGATTCCACACGGTCTCGGAGAACCGGATCGACAGGGGAATGATCTCAGCGCAGGCGTAGTCAATCAGCCGGCGATCCTTCTGGTAGGAGATGATATTGAGCAGGGTCTGGAAGTGGTCAAGGCACATGAGCTATGTCCGGGCCGGGGAAAGCCGGCGTGCGTGTGTATGAAGAAGGGGGGGGGGAGGGCGCGGGAGGGCGCGGGGCGGGGAGAGAATAAAGGGAAGATGGGTGAGAAAAGCCACGTTGGCAAACAGAAAAGGCGGCAAGCACATGGAAACCACACTGTGTGGCCACGCACAAGGGGATGCGAGGGCGCATGCGGGGATGTCGGTGGGAAAGGAGCAGCATGGGGCAGCCGGCACATGGGCATGTGCGCGCGACACTATCTCAGCACAGGAGGCGAAGAGCCACATGAGAGAGCAAGCCGGGGTCGCATCATGAGGTCTCGCCAGAGTATGTGAAGATATGGGGAGAGGGGGAGGGGGGGGGGGGGGGGGGGGGGGGGGGGGAGCCCACTGGCCGGCATCATGAACACACCTCATACATGTCGCTCAAAATGAAGTCCGATCCGTCGAGGCTGGCCAGGCCACTGAGCATCCCGCCGACGGAGTCAAACAGGTCGTAGGTGTAGGGCTGCGCGAGGAAGGGAAATGTCAGCCTTGTGAGCAGATGAAAGCAGACCGAAGAAAAAGAAGCCCCATCGGGGGTGCCTACCTCGACAATCGTTACACCAGCCAGCTTGGGCAGCAGGCTCTCGAGACTGCGCTCCAGCGCCTCGCGGATGACATTCAAGGAGTTGCCGAGGATGGCCTCGTCAATGTCAAACAGCGGGACACCGGTGTACTCCTGCGGGGGAGAGGTCTAAAGGGGGGAGGGGGACGGGGTAGGCAAGGACGGCGTGCGGCCGCAGATGGAACATCCAGCGGGGTCAGGAAACGGACCCACATAGAGCGGAGGGTGCAAATGCCGAAATGGACAAGAGGGGGGACGAGGCGGAAGGGGGGGGGGGGGGGCTCTCTCAAAGACCCGAAGAGCACGCACACTCAGCTTGTCGTAGAGATCAAACAGCTGCGACTGATTCTGCTGGATAAACTGGTTGAAGGGCTCCATAAAGGCCTCCTTGCTGCCGAAGAGCACATTGTTCGCCAGGTTCTGGAGGATCTTCGACACCAGGATCAAGGTCCGGCGTGTCTCGGAGGAGGGAAGGCCTGCAACCGGCCAAGGGCGAGAGCGGGCACCACATGGTCAGCATGCCGGAGAGCAACGGACTGGCACAAAAGGACTGGGCAGAGGCAAGGAGGGCGACAGGGGCAAAAATACGGCCGACGCACTGTCCACAAGACCATGGGTCTCCGGGGCGGCGATGGCCGGGCAGATGAAGCGCAGGAAGACGAAGCCACCAACACCGTAGAAATACTTGCCGGGGAAGCGCGCCTCGACACCCTTGCGGATGATCGAGCAGAGGGCCAGAATCGGAGCCGGGAAGGCGGCAATGCTGTTGACAATGGTGTTGAAGATTTGCTGGGCCATGTTCTGGATCACCCGGAGGGACGTGGAGACATCCATCTCCGGGGTGATGCGCTTCGGGTCGATCTCGAGCGGAGGGAGCTGGCTGATTTCCTGGAGGTTGCTCTTGAGCACCTGGCGCAGGAAGTCACCGCCAACCAGGCGCGAGAAGAAGGTCATCGCCTTGGAGGTGGCGGAGTTGCTACGGAAGAGGGTGTTCTCATCGATGGTGTTGTTGATCTCATCCACCAGCAGTCCGGAGAAGAGCTCCAGCGACAGGCCGTAGTTCTCGAACAGGTGCAGGATGGACTTCAGCAGCATGTCGTCGTTGGCGCGCTCGCGCAGCAGCCGAGTGACAATGGCAAAGTCCGACTGCATGAGGACCTGTCAAGAGCGAGGAGGCTGCGGGTTAGTAGACAAGGCAGACGAGGGAGAAGAAGGGGAGAGCACTGCAAAAGAGGTACGCACGTGCGCCAGGGCCGGGATGACGGGATCGGCCACCGGGGCCCCGACAGCATCGAGGCCGGTGAGCAGCGGCGTGGAGGCCAGCGACCCGGTGGTCGAACTGGACGCCGAAGCCGAGGGGCTGCCGAAGGGCGATGGTGGGGCCGACCGGCCAGGGGGCGGGCTGCTCGGGTCGCCGGCCGTCGGCGGGGCCGGGTGCAGTCCGCCCGGACCCATGGGGCTGGAGCCACACCAGATGTTGGCCAGCCAGGCGGGGATGTCCTCGGTGTCGGCATACCCCTCGTCCGAGGGCCGCATGGGATTGGAGATGAGCCCGGTTAGACGGTTCATGCCGTCGCGTTTGGTCGACCGCTCGAAGATGGCCTCCGGCGTGGCACGCTCGGTCCGATGGCCGATGCCATCCGGCACCGTCAGGGCACTCCGGTAGACGGCTCGTAGCCAGCGCTGGAAGGTGGTCGATGCGGCCGGAGCACCGCCACCGCTGCCGGATTCCGGAGCACGCAGCTTCATGAGGAATTCCAGCTGATTGGCGAAGGGGTTGTTGAAGTCCGGCTGCTCGGGGCGCAGGTACTTGACCCGCACACGCCGGACCCCGGGGACCAGGTGGGTGGACAGAAGATCCTGTCCATCGGCCGAGCTCGCCGGGAGGCCAGCGTGGAAGTCCGGCGCCTGGGTGAGGAAGGTTTCGCGGAGGCGCAGGCGTGCGGCCGGTGAGATCAACACCGCTGGCTGGTCGGACCGAAGGGGGAGCCGCCCGGCCGTGTACGTCGGCCGGAAGGGCTGGTGCACGGGGCCCATGTCAGCCGGGGTCGCACTGGCTGGGAGGCTACCATCTCCGCGCGGGCTGCTCAGGGGGGGCGCCGTCATGGGGGCCTGGTGGGCAAGGACGGGGGGGATTCGGAAGGGAGATCCATCAGGAGGAGCCAAGAAGGCGGCGGGAGGTGGGGGGAGGGGGTGAGCCAGACAGGGATGGATATCACCCAAACGAGAGACAAGTCGAGAGAGAGAGAGAGAGAGAGAGAGGGGAGGGGGGAGCAGGACCAGGAGGAGAGACATACGGAAGAGGCAGGGGCGCCGGTGCCACCGATGGGGGCAGAGTGCGGCACAGAAGGTGCCTGATCGGCTGGCTGGCCGGGGAGGGAAATGGGGGGAGGAGGGGGCGGCAAGTTGGCCGGCATTGGTGTGTGGACGAATCGAGAGAGAGAGAGAGAGAGAGGGAGAGAGGGAGAGAGGGAGAGAGGGGGAGAGGGGA